CATGTTTTGATTGAAATGTGAGATGGAGTTGCCTAAAATCCCTAATTTAGGCTCCTTCCTTTCTTCTACCTCACTTGCTCCTTTACCTTTACCCTCTGCCTTGTTAGAATACACCCAGTTAAATTCTACTTTGATGTAGTTTCTCTAAAATACATGTATCAAAGGGTCACTGCAAGAACTAAATAAAATATTTATTTATTGGTGGCAGCTGAGAAGTGTCACATCTCTTTTTAGGAGAGAGCCTGCTACAAGGAGTACAGGGAGCTGACAGCCTTTCCCCTATCTATGCAGCCTCCAGGATCCACTGCAGGGTTTGTAGGAGAGCAGCTCTCCCCAGGTGTCTCTCTGAGCCACACCCGGGCCAGCTCAGGAGGATACTAGGGCCAGGAGACTACTGCCTAGTGCAGGACTCTGCAACCCTGCAGACAGCAGACTTTGCCCTGGGGTATCCTACCAGCCTGGTGGAGCCTTTCTCAGACCACTTCAGTCCAAGGTTCTCAATCAGTCTTTCCCTCTTTCTCTTCCCTCTTCCCTTCCCTTCTTTTCCCTCTCTTCCCCTTCCTTCCCCTCCCCTCCCCTCCCTTCCTTTCCTTTCCCTTACTTTGCCTTACCTCCCTCCCCTCTTTCTTTCCTTCCTTCCTCCCTTCCTTCCCCCCTTCCTCCTCCTCTTCTTCCCCTCAAAAGTGCCACAAAATGATTTGTGGGTCTATCCACCTATTTCATAGGTATTTCCCTTTCATTTTTAAGTCTGTCTTGTCATCTGCCTCCCAGAGGATCTGAACTGACCTAGAACATAAAATACTGAGATAAAAAGAGGGTTCTGGGAGTGTTATAAATCACTGTTATTATTATCTAACTAAAAGAATGACTCCACTAACAGCAAAACAGTGAGGCATCTCCCCTCATGGTGTTCTGATCCAAGGATTCTTGGAAAACCTCAGGCCTTACCTGCCCTGCATTCAGTTCTCCGTCCCATGACAATGTTCCAAGCAGAACAGCACCTCTGCTTTTCCTAATGCTTCACCACAAATTTCAAATCACCAAAGGACTTGAGGACATCTGAATTAGCTAGGAAAAAAAGTGGACCTCTGCAGTCCTTCCTACCAAAACAAACCCCAGGGTCCTAATGTGGACATAGCTATGTTCACAGAACTTGATATTTTGAAGAGCCTTCTTAACACAAGCTTCAGCAAAAGCCACATTCATTAACAGTCTTTCCTGAGGGAGTTCTGGTCATGTCATTATTGTCATCCTTGTATGACAGATGCACCTGGGCCATTTATTAGTCTTGGAGAAGAAAATGATGGTCAAGGTATTAAGGGAAAGTCATCCTTGTATGACAGATGCACCTGGGCCATTTATTAGTCTTGGAGAAGAAAATGATGGTCAAGGTATTAAGGGAAAGACAGCAGAATTAATGAAACACCCAGCCTGAAGCCCTGAGAACCATCACTTAGTGCATATGCAACACTTCTCAGAGACAGGCCATGCTGTGGAGAACCCCGCTGTGATGACAGGTATCAACTCCATGCTCCAGGTACCTCAGAGGCTATTCCAATTTGGTGACCACAAACTTCACAGAGAAAGTATCAACAGTACCATCATGGCTTGTGATAAAGGGGTTACTGATGTTTTACTTATCACAGCAGAGAAACAACTGGCAATCAACAGCAATTAGGAACTTAATGAAACTGTGCTTTGGAGATACCACTGCTGCAAAGATTGTCACGGTTGGCACAAGGACTTAACAATTAATCACAATAAAGCTGAGTCTGTTTTTCTTTCTAAAAATACTCCCTCCATCAAAATATGGTTCCCATCTGAAGAAAAGAGAATCAACTTTGATCATCTGATTTTTCACATAAAAGCCTCTGGTATGATGACCTATGCACACCTTAGGATGCTCAGGGTCAAGAGCAAGACTAGGGGAGGGGACAAGGCACAAAGCTAGAGATGGCAGCAGTCCTCAAGGCCAACAATGACTGGGATCTCAGCACTGAATCTGCAAGTATAATTAATGTGTTGCTAAGAAAACAGTTCCAAAAGGAAGAATCAGCACCAGTCACAATCGTATACTGACTGCTTTTGGGGAGGGAGAAACTCTATTGAATTAGTACTAACAACAACAGCAAATGGGTTCTTGTAATCGCCTGTCTCCAATACAAATTACTTTCTTGTGATTTATACTCCTATTTCTATAACACCACTTTCATGCTAGGTCATTATGTCTGAGTAGTAGAGGAAACACTGGCTCAGGAATGTGACTGTCTTAGGCCTGAGCGTGGTTCTGATCTTTCCCCAGCTGTGTGACCAAGGGCAAGTTACTCTCTGCCAGAGACTGTTATGGTTTTTATCTAGCTATTTCCCCAAACTCACTGTGGAGCTTTTTGCAGGTGGCCTAGGGTGCGTGAATATGGATTAAGGATGTGTGATAAGTAATTTGGTTTTGCATAGTTGTGGGTGTGGACCATGGGAAGGCCCCCCTGGACATAAATGGTACCATAAGGCTTGTAGTCTGGATGGGATAAAAGGGAAAAGGGTTGTTACAGCTGTTGCTACTACTGCTGCTTTGCTTTGCTTTGGGCCACCTTCCTGCTCTGCTATGGATTGTTTCTCCTCTATGATGCCTCTGTGCCGTGTCACCCAACCTTGGAGCCAGCCAACTATAACGATGACAAAAAGTGAGCCAAAATAGACTTTTCCTACTTTAACTCATGGGTGTCAGGTATTTTTGTCTCAACAATGAGAGAAGTAACTAAGAGATTTAGTGTCTTCATGTGTAAAACAGGCAAATAAGGATAGCCACCCAACAGAATTCTGTGAGACAAAATGCCACCATGGTTATACAAAGTCTTAGCATTTCATCTCAATAGACAATTTAAAATCAATCAAACTTTGTCCTATAACATGTGACAGTTACACAGTGCAGAAAGCAAAATCACTACCTTTACACTTATCATCTGCCTTTTAACAGAAGAAGAAGAGATTTTGTCATGCTGAAATTGCAAAGTCTCATTTTAACATTGAAGACTTTTGGAAGTATCATGAAAGGTACAGAAGATGGCTGGGTAACTTTGCAATAGTAATAACTAAGTTATTATTAAAGGTTTATTGAGTACAAAATAAATTCTGGCACTATTCAAGTACTTTATACTAATTCCTTAATTTTGAAACTACTTTATGAGACAGGAACCACTATTCTCCCATTTTACAATAGAAAATTGAGACACAGTGAAGTTTAGTGATTTGTACATGGTCATATAATTTATAAATGACAAAGGCTAGACTTACATACTGACCATCTGATTTCCAACCTTGTGTTCGAACAACTATGCCAACATTTGGGCTCCTAGAGCTGGAAAAGTTTCATATCTTAACCTAAATGGTACATGTAATATATTCTACTCATGTGGCTGAGTTAGCTGCATTTTGTTTTTTTAAAAAATCTTAAACTATAATGTTAGAAAATCAAATTGTACTTCTGTGAGCAAAAAATGAGTATGTATTTTGTATATCATGTATTTTAGGAACAATCGGCACAGAATGAAATTTCTGTAATATTGCAATAATAATTGCTTCAGTTATTTATAACAGTGGCTGTATTGGTCAACTTTCTCATTGCTGAGACAAAATACCCAACACGTGCAACTTAAAGGAGAAGAGGTTTATTATGGCTCATGGTTTCAAGGGCCTGGCTCCAACACAGGAATCATGGCAGAAGAGCCTGGTAGAGTAAAGCTACTCATGTGGGGCAGCTAAGAAGCACAGAACAGGGGACAAGTGCCAGTGAGAAATATATCTTATCCAGAGCACATACTCTATGACCCACCTCCTCCAACTGGGCCCCACCTCATAATGGCACACTCAATGAACACCAGTAGATTAATCCACTGAGAAGAATAGCACTTCTGTAGCCCAATCGCCTCTGCAGGAGTCTCTTAAACCAGCCAAGTTGGCAATTAAGATTAACTGGCACAGAAGCACATGGAAATTATATTGTTATCATTTGGTAGGAGGTGCTGGGGGTTTTTTCCTCCAGAGTTCAGTGCAAAAAAAAAAAAAAATAGGAAAACGGTACCATGAAACTTTTATTTTGGCATTCTGAATCCCAGCTCTTTTTCCTTCTATTTTTTTTTTTTTTTTTTGAGGGGGACAATGATTAATTTGTTCCTCTCCTCCTGTGTGTGTTTCTTAAATTTTCTCATCCTTTCTCACTTCCTCTTCCTCTCTTTGTTTTCTCTGCTTGGCCCTAGCCCTGTCCCCTCTACTTGTTTCCTTCTCCCGGTCTCTCTCCCCTTCTCTAGTATAGAATTTGGGGAACATTTCTTATTGGTTTTATTGAACAATATGAAGGATTTCTTAGTTGTCACTAAAAATGGTTGTGTGGATTGTGTACAATCTTCTCTTTACTCTACAATTCATCTCTCCAAATTAAGTTTCCATTGACTCAGGTATGCATGGATTGACTTTTACTTCAGTAGCTGAATGATTTCTAGTTAATAAAAAAGCTTCAAAAAAAATTTTTAAAAAAAGCTTCTATGTTTCATGTAAATATATTGTTAGAAGGGTTACCAGGTTTATAGCCTAAGAAGAAAATGAGCTGTATATGAATAAATTTCCCACAGCCATCTGCTTTGTCTGCACATATCTCTTACCTGCCTCTCCTGCAGAGAAAGCACACCACAGCCAAGCAGTTTCCTGACCTATCACCCACAATGGACAGGGTGTTGCCATAATTAAAGAGATTTCGTATAAGAGGGTGTATATTTAGAGAGGCCTCAGCACTATATGTAACGATGAGTTCTTAGAGGTTGAAAGTAGCTAGAAAGATCATCTCTGGTTTCATTCCAGGAATGCAGTCAGTCTTTAAAAATCTCTTTGCACTACATTTATAATTAAGATTTAAGAATCTTATTACAAGGCAAATAAGTATATTGAAAATCCCATTCTCCCCACCAAAGACTTTTGCAGTTCTACTTCCTCCAGGGAGCAACAGGTACCTGCTGATTTGCTCTGTAAGCAGGCTGGGGTTCCTCATCCTGGGCTTCTCCCTCTGCTTCCGAGGACACTGTTTCTCCTTCCTGCTCCTCACTCTCCTCAGAACAGGAATCAAACACATCAGCATAATACTCTTCAGCCAAGAGTGGGTCTTCTGGGATCTCTGAAATAAAGTATAAGCAACTATCTCAGGCATTATGATGGCACGAAGCTAGGATCCCCGTGTTTTCTTGAGGTGTACATTTGTTCGGACTGATAAAGCTTCAGTGCAGTGTAGGACTGACTCCTAGCTTCCCAAACTCAGCAACATTAACCCAGCTGTGGAAAGGAAGAATACTTTCATTTGCAGCTAATTTTTTGAAGATAGTAAAATAAAAATGATCTACTTTAAAGTCTTTACATTTGGAACCTTGAATCCTTACTAAAAATGAGATTTTGGAGCAAAACAAGGACAAGGTACCTTGGCGGAAGGCCCTGTTATTCAAAAGTTTTTATCAGAGGCAGTCAGAATGAAACCATGTTAGCGTCATTCTCGAAGTCTCTTTTTAAAGCAAATGTCACTGGCGACACCAAAAAAGATGGGTAGGATATTTGACAACAGCATCTTGGCAAGCTGAGGGAAACATCACAATTCTTTTATAACAGGCTACGAGAACTTCAGAAATGAAGTTCATTCTGCCTGTTCCTACAACCCGAGTGCTTGACGCAACATCACTCTTGATTAAAATAGAAGTGATTCTTATAACAGTCTCAACAAAGAGAGGCCATGGGTGGATCACAACAAAGCTATAACTACCAATTCTATAATTTTTCAATGGGGCCTAGAAGCAGAGAAAAATCTTTGGGTTGGGAGAGGAGTAAATGACATAAGGACACTAACATAAAATACTGAGCATTTTATTTATTATTTTTTGGCTTTCACTCCCTTGCTTTCTTTTCTTTCTTTCCAGTTTTTATTTTGTATTAGTACAGTTTGTATTAGTACAGGTTTGCATAATGATTTCATTCCTTGTGGGGAATTGATATATGTACATACACATCTTGATTCTTTTCTAATCCCCTTTCCTTCCTCTCCTTCCCTATTCCTTCCATTTCTTGATATCCTTCCCAATTGAAAAAGATCTGTCTCTACACCGATCTCCACAGCAGCTGTACTGGTAGTTTACCTTCCCACCAACAATGTAGAAGGGTTGCTTTTCCCCACAGCCCTTCCATAATTTTAGACTTTGCATTACTCTTTGACTTATAAGCAAACTATTCTCATAAATTATAATACAAAGTACTGTTTTACAGTCTATTGTTGCTATTTTCTCTCTAGAGGATAAGAAAATCAAGGTTTGAAATCTATCTCTATCATCTATATAAAAGTCTGGATGGGATTCTTCAACTTACTGAGCTCCACTTTTTCCAGTAAAATTGACATAGAGGCCATGTAGCCAAGTGTCTATGAAGATTCAATAGTAAGATGCTCATGAAACCATCTGTGCACAGGGTAACTTCATGCACATGTTCATGTGATCTCTACATCTGCAAAAGTTGTCTTTCCAACTACTCCTGAACTCTTTAAAAGTAAAGTACTTAATGGATGTAGAATTCCCTCTCAAGAGAAGACTTTACAATCTGCTATCTATATTTTCCACCCAAAACAGATGAGGTTGTACAGTAGAACTGGTCATCTCAAAAGACAAAATTACATATATTTAAATCCACCTTTGCCAAATCTGAGGAAGGGGGATATGCAATACATTTAGCAATTTCAACATGTAGGAGCAATGTCTTGCAAAAATCTTTATTCAACTCATGCTCAGAAGAACAAGACTATCACAGCATGTAAAGTATATGGAAACCAAACTCCACTTAGAGTTCTCCAGTTTTGCCATCAAATGGGGATGTGCCCAAGGGAAGAGTAGATGGAACCATGACTTCAATATGTTCTCTTCTGTCTTGGCCTCCTCTTCACCTCTCCCTTAATCTCCATGTCTCCTCCAGGGTTGCCTATGAGCTCTCGCCATCCTTGTTCCTTCTATTTTCTCTCCTTCTCCCTTACTCTCTCTCTCTCTCTCTCTCTCTCTATCTCTCTCTCTCTATATCTACCTATCTCTCTCTCTCTCTCTCTCTCTCTCTCTCTCTGTCTCTCTCATAATTGCTTATTTATTCTTCTGTATTTTCTTCCTCCTGCTCTCTTTTGTACTCCTTCTCTTCTTTCCTTCCTGAAATACCCACATTGCTGCTCAGGGTTATGACAAAAATTTCACATATCAAGACTTACCCACCCAAACTACACAGTACACATTTGGGTGTTAAAAAGAAAAAGATGCTGCTTTCACACACTGAACAGCTTATCAACCCACAGTCTGAAAAACACTGGTTTTGAATGCTGACTTTGGCATCACAAAGACCCACACTTAAAACAGGTCTTGATAATATTGAACTTGATAATAACAATAGATTGATAATATTGAGCATTAAACTTTATGTACTTTAATTTTCTCATCTATAAAAGAGAGATCGTCTTTATTATCTAGGTGATAATATCCACCCTTTGGAATTGTCGTGACCATGAAATGGTATACCAGGTGCAAAGCACTAGGTACTCACAAGTGTTAGTTACTATTGGAAGCAGTACTGTACATACTGTAGTTTTGCTACTAATACCCAACAATAGGAATAAATATAAAACTGAACAATCACAATTATATACCAAGCATAAAGTACTTCTGTATTTAAATACAATCGTTTCTCAAAATTCATACAAAACCAACTCAAATGAGCAATCAAGACTCACACCTCTCTGCCAAATTCCTAAGAACCCCTGACACTTCACCACTGAATTCTCCTCTCATTGTCCTTCCAGTTCCAGGCCATTGGCTGCTCTAGGTTCCATTTAAGGAACTCAAGATCCCTACAATTGGGGTTCACAGCCTGTTCTGTAAAAGACCGACTAGTAAAACATTTTGGCTTTGCAGGTTACATGGTCTCAGTCACAACTACCCAATCCTGCCTTTGTAGGATGAAAGCAGAGACAATACACAAATGAATGAGTATGGCTATGTTTCAATAAAATTTATTCACAAAAGCAGGCAAGTCACAGCTCTATAACACAAACAAAACTTTCTCTTTCTAAGATACTAAGTCTCTCCTGACACAGCTATCATGGAAAGACAGTTTTATCCCTTTCCCTCTAAAATCTAGAATTCCCTCCCACACAGGGAAGGAATGGTCAGGGGGAAAATGCCTTCCTGTCCCGTCTGCCTAACTCACTGAATGAGTGGGATGAGTGCTTCAGTACTTCTTAAGTGAGTGCCACTGCATCAAGAGTTATCCAGCTCATTGGCACAGCTCATTTTCTAAGGGAAAAGTCAAAAGAAATGTAGTTCTGCTTAAACAATGTCTGTCAAGCTTCATGTTTCTGTAAGTAGGTGCCATTTAAAGCCTTGTTAGGCTAAGGATCATTTCTTCTGTCACTGAAGGGAAATGGTCTGTGATAAACAGCTATAATTTCCTCCCATCCTGAGGTCAGCCTTATAACAAATACACAGAGGTGGCATTCCAGATCTCCTCTGTGCAGGGCAGGCAGTGACAGAACATGTTCCAGAAGGACTCCAACAGTGGCCATCCAAGCTTGGACACCCATATTGCAAATCAGTGTGGAGAAAAAGAGAAGTAATTACCCTGTTCCACGTGATATTTGTCAGACCCTTCAATGAAGGTTCAAATAAATTTCCATCTTTACTATTCAACTATTTTAAAGTTATGAATATTTTCTTAGCAACTCTGAAGAATACTGGACAACAGGGAAAGAGTTTTGACTTATTTAACAGAAAAACACTGAAGCTTAGTCATCCTTGCAAATTGTCTTAAGGGAGTGGAGGATACTGAAAGCCCAGTCCCTCACTCAGACTTAGTCCAGTTCTCACCTGTTCCTCAGACCACTCGAATTTGAGCGCACATCAGAATCACATCGAGGGCTTGTCAGAACACACTCCTGGCTCCCACACAAAGCACGTCTGACTCAGCAGGCAGGGACAGGGCCTAGATTCTGCATTTCTAATGATGCTGCTAACCTGCCAACATGCTTTGAGAACTACTGCTCAGGATCCTAGGGCCTTCAAAGAGAAAATGACACCCAGGTCCACCCATCTCCGTTTTACTTCATCTGTAGTGCATCTGCCCTTTAAATATCTAAAAGGATCAAATATACATTAAAGATTTTCTTAAAATCCTCAATTTTATAAAACAGGAACTTTGCCTAAAGTCCAAATCAAGTTCTTTCTTTAAAAAGCTGCTTAGAGGGAAGATCTCAGCCCATGTACCTGCCACTATCCTGAATGATTCCAATGACTGGCACACCCTGAGCAAATGCATGTGAAAGGCTTGCCAGAATGGTTCTCAAAGGAGGGGCCCCAGTACAGTAGCCACAGCATTACCTACAATCTTCACAGAAACATAAACCTCAGCCCCTCGCCATCCCTGACCTAGTGAATAAGAAATTAGAGTAGTAGGACTATGCAGTGTGCATTTTAACAAGCCCTCCATGGTAACCTAAAGCACACTTAAGCTTGAGAAATACTAATTCAGCACAATGACTGACATTTAATGTCAGCTTGAACAAAAATAATTTCTGTAACTATCCCAGATAGTTAGTAAGCTCCAAAAGGGCAGGACCCGTGCCTGTCCTGTTCACTGTGGTATCTCCAGGGCACGGCTCAGCACAGACACTCAAAACTTCTTGCTGAATAAATGAATGCATAAATCTACAGGAGATAAGATACCACAAGTATCATACACAAAGAATTATCTAACATTTTTTCCCTAGAAGGAAGCAGAATAGGGGAGGAAGAGGACAGGAAGTAAATAGAATGTGTTTTCTCCTGAGAGTTCCAGCCCATCTTTCTGTCATACTTTGAACTTATACCTCAGTTGTAGCTATGCCTTTAAAAATAAAAAAAAGTCTGTTATATTTTTGGTCTTGAAAGTCCTGCAAAAAAATCATGTGCTAGAGGTTTGGTCCCAGTCCATTATACTATTGGGAGATGCTGGAACATTTAAGAGGCAGACCCTGAGAGGTCTCACATCACTGGGGGTGTGCCTTCAAATGGGACAGAAAAATCAAGTCTTTTCTCTCCTTCACTTCCTACCCAAGAGGTGACTGTTTCTGCTCCA